AGGTAACTATCTCAAACTCAAGTTGAACTTCTGAGTTATCATATGCTTAAAAAAGATCATTGATCAATATTGTAGAACCCTGAAAATATTTGAAAATTAGTTTGGAACCTTTTGTACATGCTGGAAATTCCTCTAGTGCAGAATGTGCTTTTAAAAAAAATGTGAAGAAATGGGCATTTATAGTGTGTTTGAAGAACGTTCCGTTAAGAAAGAAGGAACTTTCTGACCTAGGTCAGAGCTTTCAGGACAGATTGTTTCCTTATGAGCATTTTCAAACAATGGTTCTGTTAAGACTCTTGGCATAAAGTCAGATTAAGGGGAGGGAAGAGGATAGGCACGTGAGGGGAGATGTTTTCGGTGTGATCCAGTCAGAAGCTTTCTGGCGCTTTTTAGAAGATGTAATAAAAGCAAATGGGTATTTCCCATTGAAAACATAGAGCATAAACTCTCAAAGACTTAACAGGAGGTGAATTCACTGCTATTTTCCAAAACTTACTAATTTCCTGTTCTGATTAAAACAAAATTGTGGATATCGAACTAAATTTGAGGCTTGGGAGATGAGTAATCTAGTCCATCAGACATAGTCACGAGTTTTTCTTTGACCTCATATGTGAGTTTAATTGATATGTGAATTAACCTTGAATTTTTACCCATTTTTGTTTTGCTTAAATAACATTCTTGAGCTGTCCCTCGGTTATATATACATGAAGACTGGGATATTTTTCTCAACAGGTACGATGCCTTCAAAGAAACATACTCATTCAGACCTTAAAAAAAAAAAAAGTCAATGATGGTATCTTTTTCATCTCTGTATGTTGCATTTTTTCACTGCTACCTGCAATGCCTCTCTTGCTTTTCAATTCCATATGCCTTCACTTCATCTTGGAATAGCATGTGTGGCCTTCTGAAAAAGATTTATGTAAAATGGATATCAGTTATTTGATCTAATATTGAAGGTGGGAGAGTTTTCCCAGGGAGAAAACACCAGGTTATTGTTGGTTTTGAGTCAGCATATGATCTTGAAGTTGAGTTGAATAGTAAGTCAGTGTCTTTGTATAAGGTTACATTTAAAAATCACAAGGATTTTTTTTTAATTTGGAAAAAGAAAGCAGTACATAGTTCAGTGAATGCTACCCATGCTCAAAATTGTTGAGGTGACATGCTAGCTATGGAGGTATAATGAGCTCTTGAGAGTACGAATAGGACAGATGGCCTTAGTGGAAGCATGAGGGCAGAGTGTTTGAAGTTTGTCTCTGAAGTGGGTGTTCACTAATATCCACTTCAAAGTTGCTCAGAGTATAGTGAAGAATGCAGATATGTCAATTCTTTTACTAAAAACAACAAGCTAAGAGAATGAAACCTGTTTGTTATTTCTACCTTTGCCAACTGTGATCTTCAAAAACCTTTCAGACACTTATCTGAAAGGAGAGATGATGCCAGCCTGCCTTCCAGAATGAGTAAGAAGAGCATGAATTGTGGAAGAGGTGAACTTGTGATCTGCCTTTTGTGCCTTTGTGGGTCTGATGTGGCATGCGAGGAACCATTGCTGGAATACAGCAATCTTGCTTTGGTATCTTTCATTTAAGTAGAAACTGTCAAAGTGTGTACATACAGCTGTATAGAAAAAGATCTAAACATTTTTAATTTAAGGGTAATTGATAGCTGTTAATTTTCAGATTTGTGAAGGCAGTATTTCTTCCAAAATAAGTAAGAGGCCCAAGCAAACTTAAGAAAAGGAGTTTTTGTAATTTTCTCTTCCACAAATGCTTGCAATTATTTATATTAAGGTTTCCACTTTAATTTTTAATAAATCATGCCTATGTTAAGTAGGAGACACAGTAAACTTTGGATTTCTGTTTTTCTTTGAACATTCATTTGCTGATGGGAGAGAAGCTTTGGGAAATGTACTATTTGTTGTAAAACAGGGCTGATAATGTTAATAATCTTAAGATGTTATACTCATAGCTCATCTGTGGTATTTTGGGCATTTCGTATGCCTAAGCAGTGGGAGTATATGTATAAATACTCGCAATTAAGACAGAACCAGTTTATGTATGCAAAATAAACAGGAAGTCATTTTCTAGATGAAAATGACATTTCTAACGTTTAGAAAATCCTTACTGCTACTTCAACACTGCATTATTTTTAGATAATACTTTGGGAGTCAGTTTGTCATTTGAGCATATTTTAAGGATCACAGTGATGCTTTCTGCTGCTGTTGGGACTTGGAGGCTGCTGAGCAGGAGCTCTGAGCTACGCGCTGTGTGAAAGCGTTAACATTCTCCTTTAGTCACCTGGTGTGCTTATCCCGGCATGTGAGCACACGTGCCCAGTTGCCTTATCACCTCGAGGTAGATTTTAAGCAGGTGCTACCGGTTTGGTGTTCTGGGAATTCTTGTACCTGCTGGCTGCTTTTAAAAGGCATGGGTGAAAACAAGCTGTGGAGGAGGCAGGATGTTGGGCTATTGGGCTTTGTTTGTGTTGAAGTCAGGGTCTCCCTTTAAGCTTATGCCTAGGGAGGTCAGTGGGCTGTGAAGCTACAAAGGCTACATACAGGTTTATGGTGCTCTGCAGGTGGGTTCTGGGCTTGTAGGAAGAAAATCAGATCAGTTATGGGGGCCATGCAGGAAGATATTGATGTAATGCTGGAAGAAACCAGGACAGGTGAGGGTTAAAACATTCTTTGGGTCAAATTTTATTCCTGTACTTTATATATAACGATGTCTTCTATGTTTGAAGCTACCTCACTTCAATCAGTAAAACAACTGTCAGTTCAGATAAACTGACAGTTGTCCAGGTGTACCAGTTGCGTAAAGGTGGAAGCGGAGAAGAGAATGTTTAGGGTGGGAACTAATGAAAAATTATTTAACTGTTGTATTGTGGAATATTTTTCTAGAGGAAATAAGAATAATTATTGCAAGCTTCTACTTTTTTACAGTGGACTGGATGCAGTCCAGCTAGGTATACTGTAGTGAGTAATCTGTCTTGGAAAGAAACTGCCTGGGTTTAGGGCTTCTGTGATCAATATTGGCATGCCTTAAAAAATACTGTAAATTAGCATCTAATATTATATGTCTAATACCTGTGGACAGGTCATGCTAAAGCTGTTTCAGTAAGAATAATTAGTTTAGAGGATAGGGTTTAATTTAAAAATTTTGTTTACTTAAGAATATATGGAATCGAGGTAAAAATGTCTTGGGGACAAGACAGGGAAGTGTTTCAGTTCTTGGATACAGGTGTATCCTACAGCGAACTAAGCTAGCCAGTGTTTTCTGATGCTTTCATGGCTACCTGTTCTCAATAGGATAAAAAAACTCTGGAGGAGTAGTGTGAGATATGACAGAACCAAATGCTCTTTCCAAAGTTTCTTCAAAGTTGAAGTCTCTGGCACCTTTTCCTCCTTTCCAGAACACCACCACCTCCAGAGTTCACAACCAAGAGCAGTCACTTTTATTTTCTAGAATTCAGCCTACCTTCCCTGCTATTTGAACTTCCTGTCCAGGGCTCTGGAAAAAAAGACTCCTGAAATGCACCTCTTCCTTTATGCGCCTTGTTGTTCTGGAGGTGGTGAATCTTTTCTTCCCTTGCTAGTCTCGGACAAGCAAGACCTGGTCTTGCCAGGATTTTACACCTAGCGGAGCATGCAAAGACATGCTAGAAGCTGCTCTTTACTTCTGAGGATAGGGGATCATCTGTCCCTGCATGGCATCTCTGCCCTGGCAGAGAGACTGGGGAAGAGTCTGGAGCGACTCTCCACACTCTGGGGAGAGACTGGAGCACTGCCAGGCAGGGGTTTGTGGGGCTCCAGTGTCCTCCTGGTGCAGGTAGCATTAGTTCTACCCCAAAATCAGGGGAAATGATGGTGGAGGCATAACGGGGATGAGTGAGGGGTTTACCTTGTAATGCCTCTTGGGAAGTGCAAAGATTACTTCTGTGGGTGCTGTAACTGTTATCAGCAGCTAATAACTTTGCAATCATATCTGCAGTACTGCCGTAGTATTGGCATTTGGCCATTATTAGAATAATTCTTAAAGGCAGGAAACTGAGTTTGTTGCTCCTTCTATGTTTCATTTAGAACTGAATCACTAGGAAGGTAATTTTACTTAGGTACCATTTGTAGGTAAGGGCGTACTAGGAAAAAGCCATGTTGCTACATGAATTGGAGTTTAAACAAGATGTAACACAAGTGTGAGCTTGTGCGCTTTGCTATTTTGTCATGTACGCTGGATGTTAAGAAGCGGTTTTAATGTGCAGTTTGTTTTTGGTGTGGAATGTAAGATTTCTGATTTTCTGTTAGTTTGAGGAATTTTTTTTGGTTTGTGATGTCAGCACGGTTCTGAGAACTCAAAGAATTGTGAAACAGCAAAGACTGCTAAAGACTGCTAATCTTGTCTCAAACCTTTGTTTGAAAGACTGATTTAGAAGCTTGATAATCAGTTAAGCAGCCTTCACAAAGGAGGTAGAACTTCCTCCAACGAGATTAAAGATATTTTTCTCTAATGTGGTGGATAATTCTACCCCTTGGTTCATCCATAAAAGGAGCGAAGGAAAAGGCAAGGAAAATTGCGTATAATTCTTAGTATTTATTATGAGATTCAAGTACATCGAGACTGTCTATATTGAAAATCTTTTTTGTTAAAAGTTTATTGTGGTATCACTGCTTTCATGTAGGAAGTGAAACAATCTTGGAAGCTTGCCATCTTGCCTTGTAACTGCCTCTTGTATAAAATCATTAATCTTAAAGCTGCAAAAGGAAGCTGTATCCCATCTTGCACAATATATTGCAATACGGTAGTGGGGAAAGCATTTCTTACTGTGTGGTAAGATGTGAATTAGTATACTACCTTTTATCCAAAACCTATAACATTTAAAATACTAAGTTTTTGCACTTTGATACACGCTTCTTAAAAATAGATATATAATGTTTACTCTAAGGCTTTGGAAGTATTTTTTTTGGTGTAATTAACATGGCTCATAAGAGAACTTTATATGGGCTTGCAGAGCTCAGAGAAAATGGCTATTCCAGGAATTTCCTACTGATGCTCAAAGACTGAGCCAAAGGTTGCAAAAACTCTAAAACAGTCCATAAGGGATTAAATTCATTTGTAAATTATTATGGTTTCTGCTTTTTCAGAAGAGAGGTAAGGCTATTAGATTTTTTCCTGGGAAATTTGTTCATAATACTAATTTATTACATAGCCGTTTTGCTGCGAGTAAAACTGCTCCGCAGCTTATAACGCAAGGCTTGACACAGTCCGTACTGACAACTTAGCATACCATAACGTGGCAAGACTAACCTTCAGCTGTTGAAAAGGTATGACCAATGCCCTGAAATTGCCATATCCTGAATGAAAAGGACAGGAGAAAGTAGGTGAAAAAGTTTGGCATTATAATGGTCTGTTTAAGAAGCAGATTTATAGAAGGTGCTGTAATAGGCTTTGGTAGGCTAGGGCAAGAAAAAGGGTAAGCGTAAGTCGCATTAAGTGGTTGTTGCCGAGTCAGTTTTCAAGAATTAATTACAGAATTCTTATTGAATTTTTTGTTTGTTTGTTTTCAAATTCTAATGCAACCTCTCCATTTTTCCCTGCCAGTATCCCCTTTTGTTTGGGCTGATTCTTGCGTTCTGCTGGTGTTCTTTGGTTTGCTGTAGTCGAATTTATATGGGAATGCATTCAATTTTGGTAAGAAAATCATCGTACTAAATGTTTATGTTAATGTTGCTCTGATGTTGTGTGTTGCCATCACTTAAGTTTTTACAGTAATTGTATGTAGATTTTTAGAATGACATACCATACAGGAACAGAATACTTCGTTTTGTCCACTGGCAAACCAGTTGTTGTGATTTTGTGATTTTTTTTTTTTTTTTTAAGAAAAGTTGTAGCTTTCACAAAGGTTTTCCCTGCAACTTCAGAAGTCAGCACAAAAAAAAAAAAAAAAGCCATTTCTTAAACACTCCAGATCAAGATGGGTGCTCAGCTGTTTGCTGGGCATTCCTCTCCACTTACAAAGGGGGTGCATGTTCAACTGCATGGCAGGGATGGGGCCTCCGCTAATGTGGCGTTGGGCTGCTACAGCAAGAGCTATTGATCTGGCTTGCAGAAGGCTCTGTGTGCAGGAGAGAGAGCATCCGAAGGGGCAGCTGATGCTGCTAGAGCAGCTTCCTGATCTGCGATATGCGTGCACGCTTTTCTAGGCTATCCTTAGAGTGCAGCAATCATGTGGAAACTAGAAGAAAGTAATGTTAGTACTTGCACCCAAACCCATTTTAGCTGTTTCTTAGGCATCCCTAAAACAGCTGGATACTCCATAAAGTTTAATAGACTTAAGCAGTGTGGATTAACTGTCTAGTTGTTTTCTGCATTATTCTTATTTCTCTAAGTTCTTATTTGTTAAACTTAGAATTGATACAAATAATAATGTTAGTGCTTGGGTGCAAACTAAAGATTAGTTAGCAGTTACACTAGTTTCTATACAAGTGCTTTTGAGAATAGCACTGCATGAGGGTCTCTGTCATAAGATGTGATGGCCAGGTGAAATAACTTTTGTTTACATTTTTCTCTATTTATCAAGATTTATAATACTGGAATTCTTAGATCTTTTTAGAAAATTGGTGATGTATGGTTGTTTTTGTTGTATTTGCTTTTGTTGCATGGCATAAAGGAAAATGCATTGCTATGAACTATATTGAAATCATCTCCAGTGTTTTATTTTAGAAAGGAGGGGGGTTACGCTTTAACTGAGTTATCATCCAAACTTGAATTCTTATTTTTAGTGTGAAAAGACTAGCCTTCAGCCAGCCATTTGTAGAGTTCAGACTTCATTGCAGCATCTTTAATGCTTAAACTGTTATGTCTGTATTCCTAACAAATGAATGTAGAGCCCTAAACTCCTGTAGGTATCCAGAAATGGAGGAGAGAGCAACCTTTAAGAAAGAACTTTAAATTAATTTGACAATGAAAAAAAGTCTAAGGCTTTACTACTTCTGTAGAAAAACATAAACTAGTGTGTATTGCTAAATACAGCATTATATTGTGTGATAGAAATGAAAGAACACTGGGTTTGTTTTCATGGAAACTTTTTTTTACATGCTCAGTTACACTGTACACCTATAGAGTATTCAGAGGAGGTGCATTGCTTGTGAAATGCATATTTGGAACAAATTTGAAATTTCTCTTGCAAGAAGACAGAAACCTTGGTGGTTAGGGAATTTCTTGAAGCATTAGTGGAATGTTAAAAGCATTCGTAGTTCTGAAAACTTGGATATCAAAGGTGTGCATCTTCCATGAAGTACTTCATGCATGTCTCTGTTAGAAGGTATTACTTTGAAAACTAAGATCTTTCCACATGCACGCTTAAATAAAAGTAAATTGTATGTGGGAGTTTAACAGAGTAGTTAAAGAATCCATACAATAGCTAAGAGTGCATGTCAAACTTCTGTTAATTTATACTCTTTGATGAACTTGGCCTACAGTTGAGATTTAACTGATGCTTTTTAGCAGTGTTAGTGTGGAAATTGATGACTAAGGTTACAAAGTGTAGACTTTTTCTCTATAGTGTAGATCATTTGGAGAAATTTTGAAATCTTATACAGTAAGTGGCTTTTTACTGCCCACTTAGGTTTCACTTGTCATCTTGACACATTGCTTCATTGGTGTTTTTGCAATAGTTATTTAGGGGAGGAAGAATGCTGCAGTAAAGCAAGACAGTGAGGACAAAAATGCTAGCTCAGTAGTTGTGTGTTCTTAGATGTTGTAGAAGTTGTTTTCCCCTCACTCTCCAGTACTACTATTGTTGCTAGTGTGCAAAATATACATATGGTTGCACACAAACTCAGCATATCGGAACATTTCAAAGGCGTTAGAGAACGGTATGATTTCAAAATTAAAATGCATATAAGGAATAACGAAGTAATTTATGCTGATGTTGAAGTGGTATTTATGTAGCAAAGAAAGAATTAACAAGTAACTGGTAAATTTATATACTGGTAAATCCTGTTTAAGGAAGTGTATAGTAGGAAGTTTATCCCCTTGACCACCCCTCTGTGATTGGTGGTCAGAATAAGACACATGAAGATAACTGGGAAACTTCTTTTTCCTCCAGCTTGCATTGTGTCCTGACCTGCTGTTTAACCAGGAATGTCAAGATACTATAGCTGTGCCAAAAAGTAGTTGTTAAGGAATGATTGAAGGAAAACCGATTCTTGATTTAGTTCTGTGTAGTTAACAGTATGGTGCTCAAAGTCCAACTAACTAAAGCTAAGCTCCTCTAGAACAGTGGGCATCATTCCAGCTTCCTTCTTAGGAATAAGCAGCCCCTTTTCTTTTTAAGTTCCCACACAGGAACAGTTAGTTTCCAAAAAGGGTAAACGTTTTTAAAAAAACAAAACAAACCCACCCACATAAAACCTACTCAAAGGGGTGTGCATTTGAGTACCATGCTAATGGCTAGGATTTCACTTACCAAATATTCTAAATAACCAATGAACGAAGTTGTTGTGGTTGAAAAACAAAATTAGTTATTGAAAAGGATATAAAAGAAATCATCAAACTGAAGCACAGATACCTGTAATGTCCAAACTGGAAGACTACAAATTGGCAATCTGAATGTAAAGCCACTAATAAGGCCAAAGAGGTTTTCGAGGATTACTTGCTAAAAGGACAAAAGCAGGAAGCCTGGTAGCGAGTGGTAAAGCTGGTAGATGAAGTAAGTGTAAAAAGAGCACATGAAAACAAGGCAGTTGCAGAAGAGCTGAATGATTAATTTGCGTTACTCTTTGCAGCAAAGTGATTAGGAGGTTCCCAAGTCAGAACCGTTTCTATGGAGCATGAATGGGATGAACTGGTATTTCACGAAATGTCTTAGAACAAAGTCATGCAACAAAAGCAATGCATTGTGTAGACTAGGTTATTCAGCAGTTTCATATTTGAAATCTCTATGGTTTTTGAGTAAGTACAATTAACCATTTATCTGTTATATAAATATAAAACCACGGTACCTAAGGTGCGGGGAGGAAGGACGGTAAGTGTGGCAGAAGGCTTTCAGGAGTGATTTTGAAATGTGCAAGTCTGACTTGTGGAAGTGAGTAAAAATGATTCATTGAAGAAGGAGCAGTGTAAAAGTCACACCTCCTGGCTCTTAAGGAAAAGCTGATAGCATGCAAATGAACGTGGTCCAGTCAGTAGTGCCTGGATTTCTGAAAAGCTTTCAGTAAATTCCTTCACAAAAAACAAAGGTGACCAAAGTTGTAGATAATGCTGTACAATTGAATGATAACCAACAGCAGGTGAAATCTAATGATAAACTGAAAAGAAATGGAGTAGCTTTAATTAAGAAAAGACATTTAAAAAAAAAAAAAAAGAAAATCAAGTATTGAGCCATTGAAGTTCCCTCTTTCTTTCCTTCAGTAGTTGCACAATTGGAAGTGGTTCTCCGTTCTTCAAGTATTGTTTACCCATGAATTGGGATTCTGTGACAGTCTAAGCTGCTCTAACTTCTAGCTGCTGTGCTCCTCTCCTGTCTTACCAGATGTCCCTACCACCCTTCTTTTGTGCTGGCCATGATGCTTGGATTCAGTGTTGAGCTGTTGCAGCATGCTAAGTTGGTGGAATTTTATGTTTTGTTTTGTTTTGTTTTTTTTTTTCAGCTGGGCTAACTTTGTGGTGACTGTGGGCTGGAATGGCCTGATCCTGGACAAGGACCATTGTAGTCAGCAGATAGGTAGATCTGCAACTTCAGAAAAGAACAGGAACAGAAAATGGTTAGCTTCATTTGATTACAATGCAGGTGTCCTATTAATAGGTGGTTGAATGCAATTTCTTATATTGCCCTTAAAATAAAAGTAGACTTAACCTTCTACAATAAATCTGAAAAGGTGGGAATCCACAAGTGGCTTTTAGCAACAGAGCAACTAGACTTATCTCCATGCTAATGCAACTTAATAACTATTTCAAAAATTAATTTACGCTGAAACCATATCTTTATCTCTCTTCAACAGGACGTTATTGCTGGATTTCTGTATGCTATTCTCATCTTGGTTGTCTTCCATCCAATTGTGGACCTGATTGATGACTTCAACTTAAGTTACAAATATGCACCGTTAATTATCATCAGTCTCCATTTAGCCTTGGGCATCTTCTCTTTCACTCTAGACACCTGGAGCACATCACGAGGAGACACAGCTCAGATACTGGGCTGTGGTGCTGGAGTAGCCTGTGGCTCTCATGTTAACTACATGTTGGGTCTGAACCTAGATCCTCCTCCCGATATGTTACCGTTATCTCTTTCCTCTCTCACTGTGACTGTGTTTGGAAAAGCCATATTGCGGTTGTTAATTGGAGTAGTAATTCTGTTATTAACAAAAATAGTGATGAAAAAAGCCACTATTCCGCTGGCATGTAAAATATTCCGCATACCACACGATGATGTACGGAAAGCAAGACAACGCATGGAAGTTGAGCTTCCCTATCGCTATATTACATATGGAATGGTTGGGTTCTCCCTCATGTTTATTGTCCCTTGTCTCTTCCAGTTTATTGGTCTGTCTTGATGCAGATTCATCCCTTTAAATAGGGGGAATGGAGATACTTGATTTTTTTGAAAAGATGCACTAGTTTGCTAAGGGAAGGCCAGTGAGTTTGGCTTTAGCAGGGGTCTTCACTTCAACAGCAATACACAGCAGGCAAAGCATTTAAAGGACATTGCACGTCTCTGGTATGGTACGTGGCCAGAAGTCAAATATCAGTCCCTGAGAAGTGCTGAACTCTATAAATGCTGTGTCTAGATTTATTGCTGTAACAAAGTGTGTGTTTGTGCGCAAGAAGCAAAGAATCATCTAAAACATCTCTCATAGTGTACCTGTATACTTGGACATTTTGACAGGTATGTCCGACAGCTAATCAGAAAGCTCCATTCATGATCTGTTTGCCATTTCATAATAATTTATTCAAGTTGTTGGACCACAAACTGCTAAATTATTTGTTTTGCTTTATTTTTCCCTAAACCTTGTTTCAAGATGTTTCAGCTAATGGGTATTTTGAATGGACCAAACTTGCAATGAGGTTGGATTTTTCTGACGAACAAACAGAAGTTTTTTTTTTCTTTAGTCCCTTTTACACAGTAAAATGTCTGCCTTGGTATTGGGGTTAGATATCAAAGGAGTATGTAAGATTCAGGTACTGTATTTTATGGCTTGATAACTGTGCCTTTCTCCTTTCTGTTGCTAAATTAAGAAATGCCATGTATACTGTGATGTAAAAATGATTCATTTTATTTTAGATCGTACATAATTAGGCAGATATTTTTAAATGTTTGTCCACATTACTGGCATGGTTAAAGTTAAACAGAATATTCAGTTTAGTCTGTTTAAAATTGCATAAATGAAATGATCCAAGAGTTGTGTCCTTAGGCTCAAAAGGTTGTGAATGGACAATAATCCCTTTTGTAGGTGTTTTTTTAATGTGCATCGTAAGTTACTGGTAGAGGATATATTTTTCTGCAGATCGTTTATACAGTGGACGGATGTTCAGAATTAGTTATCTAAAAATATAAACAATAAAAATAACCATCCTACTAAGAAATGGGCCTCATATATTATTATTCCAAACAGACTTAGAGGACCATTGTTTTTAGAGATGTGCTTAGAAAATCTAATCATACTTCTATAAAAACTATATGTATTTTTATTCTTTTACATGCTATATGTTGAGAATCACTTTTTACCCAGTTTAGACAGCTATAAAACAAAATAGTGATCAAATTAAAATTTTGATCATTTTGATAGGCAGGTCTCAGCGCTCGAAAGACAATGTTGTCAATGCATAAACGGTTTGTGTGCGTATCTAGGTTTTATTGAATAATAATGCACTTTCATCTTTTTAAAGTTCCTTTTCCACCTGATGAGTAGGACATGATCCTTGAACTGTAATTTCATGTGCCTTTGTTTTGAATTTCATTTTGTCTATGTGATTTTTTTTTTTTTTTTTTTTTTGGATTACCTAAGCTGTTCTTTCCATGTCAGGAACTGTCTTATTGCAGCATTCTGGCAAGACATGAATTGCTTAGTTTTGTATCAGTAAATTTTTTCAGGAAAAACGTAATTTGATTAGGAAGTCTAGTGAATAATTTAGCTACAAGACAAAGCTTACATTTTTGTAAAAAAATACTTAGAATTGGAAGATTACTGTATTGGAGATATGAGCTCCAAACTCTGTTAATATGTAAATTAACAAAATTAACTTCTTATCTCTTTCCTCCTTAAAGCAGTCAAAGTGACGGTACGCTGGCATTAGAAGATGCGAAAATTTGACTTTTCCGATGTGCGTTTAGTATGCACTGTTATGAATGTACTCAAAAGAATTGACAGTGCGTTAAACTACTTTTATAGTTGAGATTTATCTTGTAGAAAACTTCTAGCTTCTTTCAGTACATATTTCTATGTTTGATTTTTCTGTCTGTTCCTTTGTTGCAGTTTTTATGCTGAATGTGCAGTAAATCAGTTATCAAGGTTTTGAGGGAGGGATTTCCACTGATATGGCTTTGCACACTAAGATAGAGATCGAATAAATAACTGAGGGGCAGGTATATAAAAAGGCTTTTTGCTTAAAGCCCTGAACAGGTATTGTCATTCTAATGATACTAAATTAGCCTGAAGACTGGGGAAAATAATACTAATAGGAAGGCTTCCTCTGAAATTGAGGACATATTTTCCTTAAATATCCTAGCTTTACACTTTATAGTGAAGAATGTTTAAATTGCAGCACAGAAGGGACAGTTTAAGCAAAACTTATTTTTTTAAGGTACATACTTGCTGTTAAGACTTTTAGGAACTTGAAGTTTACAGCACAGGATTGTTCTTAACGCTGTATTTTATAGCTGTGCTCTGTCATACTAATAATGGAAAAGAAAACCTACTGTAGAAATTTTAGAATGGGTGAAAAAATCATATGCAATCATGACTTTCAGCAGACTAAGGAAAATTGCACTGTAGCTCATTCTACTGTTATTCATATATATATATTATATTTTTATACATTATATTGGGTAACTTCAAAATATCATGTCCCGTATAGCGTACTCTGCAGGAAATGGATATCAGAATGTTGGTTTATACAGCACCTTTACAACCCTATCTCTAGACTGCAACTGCTTTACTGAAGTTTACATGAATAAAGTTTTACTGTTCTATTTTCATGTTCTATAAGGGGCTATGCTTAAGAGGGCAGTTTAGCACAAAATATCATGCAATATGAATACTATTATAGAATAGAGCAAGAAAGGCAGG